GAAAGAAATGTAATCTTTATTGTGTTATTTACAAGTGTTGAACAGTTTGTAATATTTTGTTAACACAAATATTATTAGTATTATTGACTAAAATCGTTAAATCCCATAAATTGTGTCCAATTAGTGAAAGCAAAGACTTGTAGAAAGCGTTACAAACCATTATTGAGAGCAAAATAGTAGTTTTGAATAAATTTTAATGTCTTGATTGACACCAAAAGCATGTCATTAAATGATTGAAACAAACGTAAAATCAATTCACACTTTGAATGCAAAACATTTCATTTGTTTGGTTAAGAGATGTCTTTTAGTGACACTAAATAGTTATGAAAATTTCCGGTTAATTATATTTATTGTTAGTTTAGAAGTGGACTCAATTCAATCCATCAATTCATTGTTCATTAAGTTTTGTAAAGTCCATTGAATATTGATTTTGTAGCAATTGTTGGTTGAATTAATTGTTAGCCTTTTTATTATTATTAAAAGACATTTATTTCTCCATTTTTGGTAATCTTTTATAAGTTATTAAATAAGAAAAAGATTTTCTTTGCAAGAAATGTAAGGAAAATGTAATGTTTTTCGAAGTGTTTGCGATTATCTATTTATAATATTAACGATAAACTATTATTTAAGAAAATCAAAACATAAAATCTGCCGTAAATTTTGTATACAATACTAATAATTAATTTTGTGATGTATTGGCGAACTTAAAGGTGTGTCAGATGTTGGGTATAATAGAAGTCGATTACTTTGGCTTACAATATATGGGCCAAAGAGGGGAAATGCTGTGGATTAATATGAGAAACCAAATCAAACAACAGACCACTGGTGCTAACACTCCTCCTCTCAGGTTTCAATTAAAAGTCAAATTCTTCGTTCCGCCACATCTGCTGCTCCAGGAAGTGACCAGGTACAGTTGTACAGTTATACAGTTCACTATATACACCCTTTTACCATCATAATCCCTTTTTTTGTTCATTCATACCAATCCTTTTATATGACATGCATTGCTTATGGCGTTAGCAACACATGTGTTGATTCAGTAGAATATATTAAATACAATACAATTACATACGATGTCAAGGACTGTGTGTTTTAGTTATACTGTATCTATAGTTATTTGACTTCTTTTTATGATTTTATTTTAATTAGTTTTCGTCGAACTATAGATCGTATAAATTTAAATACAATACAATTACATACGATGTCAAGGACTGTGTGTTTTAGTTATACTGTATCTATAGTTATTTGACTTCTTTTTATGATTTTATTTTAATTAGTTTTCGTCGAACTATAGATCGTATAAAAGATAGATATATTGAATGTTTACGTGACTTAAGAGCGGTCTCTAATCCGCGAATATAGACAATATTTTCCTTATGAACGCTAACTAACGGTTCGCATAATATTTAGATAATAAACAACACTTAATCTGATTTGTTGTGAATTGGATTCTCTTTACCATATATGTTGGTTATAGTGTTAGTTGTGATCAAAACTTGTTTAGACTTATTAATGAAATATTTCTTCTTTGTTTTTTAAGACACATCTGACCTTCTTTTGAATATTAATTTCAATAATCTGTAAACATATGTAAAATAATTGTATTGTTTACAGGAATAGCATTTTATACAAATTAATTATGCATTTAATTAAATGCAAATTTTCCACAAAAATCAAGAGATATACAAATTTGAACACAAAACATGTTTTTTTTTGTTATTTAAATGTAAATTTCTTTGTAATTGCGTTACAAAGGATATGCCATAAGAATATCTTAACATCCGTTTGAGTCTTTAAATTAAACCCTAATTTTGATAGCTTTGGCTGTATTTTAATATTAATTTTGAACCACAAATTAGGCATCAGTTCTACATAAGTATTGTTCAAGATTTACAAGAGGGACGTCTGCGAGTCAATGATAAACAGTTAGCCATCAAATTGGTTGCACTGATAGCACAGTCAGAAACGGGTGATTTGGACTCAGAAGTGACGTCCGCTCTGTTGTCGTACCGGAAATGGATTCCGCTCTCAATATTAGAAAATGAAGATCTCTGTAGTTCTCCCACTCCTCAGAGGACAGGCAAACGAAGGAAACACCATTCGGGCTCTTCCGGGCCGGAGATGGGCTCCGAAAATGAAGAGTCATTTAGTGATGTCGAGTCAAATTCGTGGACAACCTCTTCGTTGAATCACATCTTCAACAGCAGTGAATTCTCGTGTCTAACGAATAGTATTATACATTATCACCAAAAACTGGAGTCAACGAAACCGACGCACGCCAAGTACCTCTTCCTCCAAGAAGTGGCTAATCTCGAAGACATTGGAGTCGAGTATTTCTTTGTCAAACTTAACAATAGTACTGAAGATCCCTATAAAATAGGAGTTGGCCCTAAAGGGGTGACCATTATTTGCGAGGAAACACATGAAGTTAAATATACGTGAGTTTTGATTTGATTCATAATTTGTTTCACTACTAGAATCTAATTGTCATTTTTGACGTATTTTTATGCATCAATTTTATATGCATTTAATTGTATTATTTTATGATTGCATTAATCCTATTAACTGGTAAATCCCTAAACTGTGGTTCAGTCACACAAAAATAGAAATTCAGAGTCTGATTAATTTAAATATGACTGGATAGGTAAGATGAGCAAGGTGTCCATGTTAGTAGCAATTTATTGCTCATAATGGTTCTGAAGTGGGTGCAAATAGGGTATGTGTTCAGATTTACTTCAATT